CGTTTATTGAAATATTGAATGACCAAGATCGGTTAACAAAGTTAACACAAAAACTTTGGTTAACATTTGATCTTACCCCTACATATAGATATACATATATATATACATATATATATATATATACTATATTTTACGAGAGATTTTTCATCGATGTTATTCTTGTTCTTAAATTTTTCCTATATAGATATGAACATTTATTTGGAAGAAAAAAAAAACGTGTTCTTAAATTGTACTAGGTGAGCATATGTTGAAATTGTTACCTCAAAGGAGACAGAAAACTTGAGAGTAGTCACATGGATCATGCCATTCTAAAATGACTTATAAAGCACTTAATAAAAAAAATTAAAAATATTTTTTTTATACATAAAGTACTATTTATTGATGTATATTATTTAAAACTCAATATTATAAGTAAATTTGCATAAATACAGCTTATTAAATCTTCATTTCTAAATTTATGTAACTAACTAAAGATAAACATTCATTTTAAATATAGAAAATCAAAAATAAAATTAAAATAATCATTGAGTTATAACAGAATGTTTAATTATTATCTTTATAAAAAATTATATTATTAAACCAAAAATAAAATACTTTATTATTAAATTTAAATTAAATTTTAATAAAAAATTGAATTAAAGAAGTTACATAAAAAAAACAAGAACTATTAAATAGTTAATTTGATACTAATATTGATTTATTATTTTTCAAATTTCTATGATATCTTCAAATTTATATTTCATTCAAAAATAAAAACATTATCGCTTTCTCAAAACCACATAAAATCATATTATATCGATAGAGACAGAATAAAAACTAAACATTAAAATCGAAATTTATCTCGCTGCATTGCGCGAGTACTCTTCTAGTGTATGTATGTATATATATATATATATATGTGTGTGTGTGTGTGTGTGTAGGGGCCCTTCAAGGAAGAACTGAGTTGTTTGTGGTAACCGTGAAATCCAATCTTAACCACACAAATTAATAATCAATGGTTGAAAATACAAGAAAAATTAATTACTGAAATTCCAAAACTAACTCTCAAATATTTAATGTGAGTATGTAAATAAGGGCAAAAGGGTCAAAAAAAATTAATTTAATGAGACTATTTTGAGCGCCCTAGAAATCTATTAATCTTCTAAAATTACATTTCATCAAATCAAAACAAAAAAACACAAAAGATCCTGTTGGTTGCGCGAGAAGAGGTGGAGAACAATTTGTAGGCTTTAGTTGAACATGTTGTGTTACATTGTGGTAAAAAAAGATTGTGATTTCATGCACTATCCAAAAGATTGTGGTTTCATGTGGTAATATTGACATCCTTCAACACACTATGAAGTTGCTGCATAAACACAAGAAAACAATCCAGTTAATGAGCATTCAACTACACTTTGTGTAATATCTCAAACACATAGTAGCAAACCATACAAGACAACCTCCAAACTACTAAACCCATGATGAGAATTCTTTGGTAGCCTACTACCAAGAACTCATAAGTCATAAACGGCTACAAATTCCAATAGTTACTGATGCGGGACAAGGTGTTACAATACCAATAATGTATTAGGTAACACAAGATGGTATGTTACATTATGGTAAAAAAAAATTGAGGTTTCACCGGATGTAGTAACAGGTACATTCCTTTTGAATTCAATACGTGCTAAGGTGTTATTTGACTCTAGTGCAAACTTTTCGTTTGTGTCACCATTGTTTGCTCAAACTGCATGTCTGAATTCTATGCTACTTGATGATGAGTTAGTAGTTGATGTTCAATAACTGTATTATTATTATTGGGGACTGTGAACTTTCGATCCGGTTATTTCTCATGCCAATGAAAGAATTTGACGTAGTAGTGGGTATGGACTGGTTGGCAAAGTATCAGGATAGTATTGTTTGTAATCAGAAAATGATCAGAATTATTCTGCCAGACCAGAGAACAGTTGTTATTTATGGTGATCGTCATAATCACCATACCAGTATTTTGTCAGTAATGAAAGCCCAG